TATACTCTTTTTTACTTTTAATTATTTTATTTGTAATCTGAAACCTAGCTCATAATATTGTAAAACAACTTGAAAATATTTTTCCCCAGGAGAATATGAGTTTATTGAGAGTCAGATATCTTAAAAAAATCATGAATGGCATTTTCAAAGCAACAGTTTTACTTCATAGAAATTAAGATACAAGGACTAAAAAGATTATTCAACTGTAAAGAACACAAGCTGCTATTCCAAAGGACGGATGTTCAGTTCTCATTAGGACCAGGGAATCTGACAGCTTCTTCTGCCTCCACAGACAATGTATTCACATACACAAACACATACACTGAGTACACACACACAAACATATAACTAAAAACAAAACGCAATATCTTTTTATTAATAAGATAATTGATGCTGGAGAAATTAGTCAGAAGTTAAGAGCACTGTCTGCTCTTTGTGAGGACCTGGGCTTGATTTCCAGCACCCACATGGCAGCCCACAGCTGTCTGTAACTCTATTTTCAAGGGATCTGACAATCTTTCCTGGCTCCCATAAGCACACGGCATGCATATAATGCAGATAAACATACAGACAAAACACCCATACACATGAAATAATAAACTGAAAATACACAAAAGCAAAAGAGGAAATAGATGAGAAGATGGGGATCAGAAGAAGTGGGATGGACCAAGAGAGTAATGAGGGGTGAATAGGGTAGGGAAACATGTGCAGGGAAAGAAGACCTTGCCACTGACTTTACCTCAAGGCCAAGATCAAGGTCAAGGGAAAAACACCCTGCTCCTGGCTTGACCTGGAGATCCCAAGACTTGGAAATTTCTGACCAGTGACTCGGCATTAACAGCCAAACAATACTTCCCGATGCTCTGTACTTTTCCATCAACACACTGCACATGCTCCATGAACCCTATGAAAGCCCTCCCCGGCTTTCTCCCAGCCCTCTGTTGTATCGCTTACTGTTCAGAGGCAGCCAGTACTCTGTGTTTCTCCCCAATAAATCTTCTTGTGAAGTTTGTTGTGCGCTGTGACTTTATGGTATTCCTTGGCTCTCATTGCCAAGATACCCTTGTGCCAGAAAAACCTTTCATGAATGTCATGACACAGAAAGGCTCTCCTGGGGCCTGTGCTTCCTCTTCAAGACCCTAATCCTCATCTCTGGTCCACCCACAGCAGACTCTATCCACCAGTGGTAATTTAGCAAATTTCTCCTTTAGTTGGTGTAAACACTTCCCTGAGTCTATAGAAGTGACAGTTTGGCATCTGAGACCCTTCTGGTACTCTTGGAGGCTGAGGTACCCATAGCCATGGCCTTTTAAGGCTACAGATCACCCTCTTCACCCACCCTATCCAGCCACCCCACAGTGGAAGCTGCAGTTCTGCAGCTTCTGCAGGCCTGACTGGGCTGTTTTTACCCTTTCCTGCTCCCTTTCTCTTTTTCACATCTGCCTCATATCTGACTGTAATCCTTCAGCTCCTCTCTGCCCTCACGCTTTTATGATACTATGCAACCCTATTCCCCATCCCTTTTCTATGGATGAGACCTCATTCCTGAGCTCAGATTTTTATTGCCTTCTAGCAAGCCTTTGGGCCTTGTTCAAAAACCCTGGTATCAGGCTCCATGTCTCCTTGGGCTATTATCCCTGATACCGTTGAATACAGTGATGACCCACTAAATAGCTTGGTGGCATTTAGTCCTCCCTGAATTCTGGGGATGCCCTTGACTACAGGCTGCTAAGAAACCTCCCTACTTCCATGGGAACAATGATATCCTTTCATTCCACCTTGGGATGCCTCTTGGAAAACTTCAAGCCTCTACACCTGGCACCCTACCTGAAGGGCCCAAACTTATTTGCTTTTGCAAACGAATTTTGTCTCAATATCCCTTGGATAACCCATCAAACGGCTCCCTAATGGCACCCTAGATCCCGATATTATTTGACCCTTTACAACTGCTGAAAGCAGTTGGGAAAATGGAAAGAGATTCCCTACATCCAAGCTTTCTCCCATCTCTGTTCCAAACCTTCTCTCTCTTCTTCCTGTTCTCCCACCCAGCTCCCTCTAGCTAACAAGCCTCCCCCATATTGGCATTATGTTTTAGAGTTCTGTCTGGAGTTGTCTGATCTTGTCTTTTACTATACCTGGTTGGCTGACATAGAAGGTACAATCCTCCCTGAGGAAGGGTGGAAGATTGCCCCTCTCTGCTATGAGTAGATCTAATACTTGCCAAATTTTGTAGCACCATGGTATACAGCAAGTTTATTTGGCCCTGGAGGGTGAGGACGGTCTGAGCCACCCATTGGAGGTCTTGGATGAACTAAGAGAAAAACTGATAGTAGATAATATGTGCTTAGTACCACTGTTTCAGTCCAGTGGTGAGGCCAGTGGTTATGGGTGAGAAGGGGTAGGACCTGAATCATTCGTCAGCTTAATGCCTCTGGCCTAGGAATTGTTGACAGTCCAGTTTGGAATTAGATACTGGCTATCCTAATCCCCTTTCTCCTCTTTTTCCTAATTCTATTAATTACACCCTGTCTTATAAACTTTCTGTCTCAATTTCTTCAATAGCAGATTCAAAAGATTTATAATCAGACCTTTAATCAGTTGCTGTTACAGGATTATCAGCCCTTAACTGTTGGATCAAAGGCCATGACCCCCAAATTACACCCTGATATAACTGTCAGCTTGCCCCATGGATATCAAGGCTCCCACACAGCAGGAAGTAGTTCAATGATATATCACCCTCTTTTCTGACCCCTGATTAATTATCAATAGTAAACAAAAAATAGGAAGAACGTAGGGGGAAGGGGCCATGGAAAGAATACTCTTCCCTGACTTGATCGAAAGCTCTGAAGGAAAAACATGTCAAGGGCTCTTAAGACTTGGGAATCATACAGCATAATGGTCAAATAATACTTTCTGCTCTCCTATACTTTTTCACTCGCTTTTTGCCCAGCCTTCCCTCTGCTGTCTCTCTTTCCATTCAGAGGTAGCTGTCACTCTGTGTCTCTCTCCAACAAATCTGTGTGTGAGATTTGTGATGTGGTATGACTTTGAGGTATTCCTTGTGCAAGAAAAACTTTTCAAATATATATATGTGTGTGTGTGTGTGTGTGTGTGTGTGTGTGTATGTATATATATATGCATATGTATGTGCATGGAAAAGTGATAATAAAATATATGTATCATTAACATATGCTGGTAAAAGCATAATAAAGCCTGGCATATTAAAAAAAAGAAAATCCCAAAACCTAAAAATTGAAAATAAAAACTGCTATGGGATGATCTTTCTGTATGCTGTGAATATGTTTTATCACCATTGGTTAATAAAGAAGCTGCTTTGGCCTATAGCAAGGCAGGATAGAGTCAGGTAGGAAATCCAAGCAGAGATACAGGAAAAAGAAGGGTGGAGCCAGGAGGAGATGTGAGCCAGCCACCAGAGGAGCATGATGTATTAGAAAACAGGTAATTCCACAAGGCCATGTGGCAAAATACAGATTAATAGAAATGGATTAACTTAAGTTATAAGAACTAGTCAATAATAAGCCTGAACAACAGGCCAAACATTTTGTAATTAATATTAAGTCTCTGAGTGATTATTTTAAAAGTGGCTGTGAGACACAGCAGGACAGAAAAGCCTTCATTTATAAAAACATTTAACATAATTATTTATAAATTCTGAATTTAGGGTCAATTCACATTTAATTGTAGTTCATGTTTGATATATACATATATCTCATGTAGACTTGTACAAACACAGAATAATTTTATACATAGTGGATGTATACTTGATAATACCATGTGAAATGAGTTACTGTGAACCACATTCTTCTTCATTTGGTTGTATAGCATAGTTGATTGATACCAAAATGTTTAATGTAGAAAATGGATTGTAGGATTTACTTGCATGTTTTAAAATTAGCATTCATAATACTTTTAATACTTGCTTCCTTTTTGTAAATTAAATGCCTAAAATTTAATTACTCATAATGGACAATCAATAAAACTTCACTAAATAACAAATATATTTGATAATGACAATTAGGTTACTAGACATTAAGTCTAATAAGATAATGGATATTATTTCCTACATCCATGCCGCACAATTTTACATTTCTCCTTCTACTCATTACTTAAACATGACTTTGTGTGATTTATAAATCCAGTTACCAACATTTCATGCAAAATTTGAAGTGTTATGATTTTAAAATTTAATGTGTTTCAATATTCTACATTTATACCTAGAGCTTTTTAAACTATTTGACCTTTGGTAAAATGCCAATCTTAATTACACTGGGAATATGATCAGCAGTTGTCAGACTTAGAGATTATGAAGCCAACAAAAAGTGAGACATGGAATCCAGTGATACTGTGGTAAACCACAGCTTATTGACTATAGCCAAGTCACATCATAAAACTGTCATTCAAGGCTGGGAAAGAGAAACTAATGTGTGCTATCTAATTTTTCTCTGAGTAAAGTTTGGGGGACTATGTGATAACTGTCTTTTGACAAGTGATATCAAATGAGCCTTTGTTTATCTAAAAATAAAATTGCTTGGTGATATTTTCATTGAACTTTTGTTCAGTGAATAAGTAAACAACATGTAGATATTTTAGGTTGAAGGATATACTGAAGAATATACTATGGCAAAGATATAGTTCAAATATAAATAGAATATAAACCTTAATATAGGTAAATTATCCTGTATTACTGGAGGAGCAGCATTATCTTAGACTCTTAATCTTGTTAAAGATTGTTTGATAGAGACAGTCAGGATTAATCAGAAGAGAAATACTGTAAAAATGAATGTAAGAGACTTAAAATGTGAACTATTTGATATATTATTGCCTATGAAATGTAGGTATTTATGAGACAGAGACAATTATTATTTAGGGAAGCCATCCATCCTACTACCAGAAGAGAAATAGTGACCTGAACCCTGCAAGTTATAAAAAGAAATTAAAAATAAAATAATTTCTGCCTATATAAAAAATACACATACTGCTTGCTTCAGAAGCACATATACTAAAATTGAAATTATACAGAGAAGCTTAACTTGGTACCTGATCAAGGATTTTAGGCAAATTTGAGAGTCATTCCATATTTTTAAATGAATAAAACAGTTTAAAACCTGAAAGTAGAAATAGAATCAATAAAGAAAACCCAAACTGAGGGAAAACTAGAAATGAAAAAATTAGAAATTCAAACAAGAGCCTGTTGGCAAGGTTCCCCAACAGAATACAAGAGAAAGGAGAAATAAGTTTAAGAATGGAAGACATGACAGAAAAAAAATGGATTTCTTAGACAAAGAAAAGGTTAAATCTAAAATAATCCAGGTGTAGAACATCCAGGAAACCAGGGACACTTAAAAAAATGAAATCTTGGAATAATAGGGTACAGGAAGTGTCAGTGATCAAAGACACAGAAAATATTTTCAATAAAATCACAGAAGAAAATTTCTAAACCTAAAGAAGGAGATGCCTACAAAGCTACAAATATAGAGAACACCACATAGAGTATATCTGAGAAGAAAGTCTCCTTGGCACATAAAATGAAGACAGTAAACACACAGAAGAAAGCAAGAATATTAAAAGCTCAAAGGGGGGTAAAAAAAAAGACCAAGTAACATATGTTGGTTTTTGTGGCACACTTACCCTGCAAAGAAAAGACTCAAACACAGCAAACCTGCTAACAAAAGTTTTACCAAAAGAAAAAGGAACAAAAGATGTGCTCAGGCCTGTGGAAAACCTGTAAAAAGAGAGGGTACGGGGCAGCCTTCTAAAGGCTAACCTGCACATGGGAACTTGGGTCAGCACTTGGGTCCACATGGCTACTCCACGCATACACATACATTACATGGTCACGCTGCACGCAAATTATGAGACCATGTAGCACACAGGTTTACATAGGACGTATGATGTGGAAATGACTGGGCAGAAATGACTGTCCCCCCCCCCCCCCCCCCCCGGAGCATGCACGATCACTGGGGCAAGACTATTAGCATATACAGGCAGCACATTGAAAATGGCACCTGACTTCTTAATAGAGACTCTAAAAGTCAAGCATTCTGTATATTCTAAGAGACCAGAAATGCCAGGCTAGATTACTATAAGCAGAAAAACTTTCCATCACAACAAATGGATAAAATAAGACATTCCAGGACAAAAACAAATTTAAGCAATATCTGTCTGTACATCCAGCCTTACAGAAAAGCTAGGATGAAAACTGCAACCAAAAGGGATTAACTATACAAAAGAAAACACAAGGAATAAATAATCCCAGATCTCAAATTCAAAGAGGGGGAAACACCGTCCCCACACCCCCACCCCCACCAAACAACAATAAAATAACAAGAATCAACAAATAAACACTACTCATGGATATCTTTCAATATAACTGTTCCCCATTCCCCAATAAAAAGACACAGGCTAGCAGAATGCTTGTAAAAACAATGATTCTTTCTCCTGCTATCTACTTTAAACACACCTTAACATCAAGGATAGATATCAACTCAGGGTAAGAGAATGAAAATAGATATTCAAATCAAATGGATCTACAGAACAAGTTGGTATAGCCACTTTATTATTATCTGAGAATATAAACTTTGTGGTAGTTTGACTGTAATTGACCCCCATAAGCTCAAAGTGAGTGGCACTATTAGGAAGTTTGGCCTTGTTGGAATAAGTGTGGTTCTGTTGGAGGGAGACATCACAACAGACACCAGGGAAATCCAGAGAACATAAGGACATACTTTAAAAGTCTGTACTCCACAAAGTTGGAAGATATAAAAGAAAAAAATAATTTTCTCAACACCACATACTAAGGTTAAAACAAGACCAGATACACAATTTAAACAGACTTATATAATCCAGTGAAATAGAAGTAATAATTAAAAGTCTCCCAGCCAAAAATAAGCCCAGGGAGAGATGGTTTTAGAGCAGATTTCTAACAGACTTTTGAAGCAGAATAAGCAGTGTTAATGCCAATACCCCTCAAATTATTCCAGAAAATAGAAACAGAAGAGACTTAGCCCAATCTTTTTTACAGGGCACAGTTACCCTGACATCCAGCCACATGAAGACTCAACAAAGGATGAGAATCACATACTAATTTTCCTTGTGTACATAGATGCAAAAATAAACTTAATGAAACTTACTCAATAAAATTCTTACAAACCTAATCTAAGAATTCACCAAATGATCATCCAACAAGATCAAGTATATCGGTTCAACATATGTAAATGAATAAAAATAACCCACCACATAAATAAACTGAAAGAAGAAAACCACATGGTCCACATATTAGATGCAGAAAAGGTCTTTGACAAAATGCAACACCCCTTCATGATAAAAGTTCTAGAGAGATTGAGGAAACAAGGAACATACCCTAACAAAATAAAGACAGTTTACAGCAAGCTCCTAGCCAACATCAACTTAAATAAAGAGAAACTCCAATCAATTCCACTGAAAACAGGAACAAGAAAATGTTGTTCACTCTATATCTATTCAATAAAGTACTTGCAGTCTTAGCTAGAATATTAAGTCTTGGGGGTATCTCTAACCAAGTAAGGGAATGACTGCTATGATAAAAAAGCTTTAAGATTTTGAAAAAAGAAATTGAAGAAGATATCAGAAGATGGAAAGATCTCCCATGATCATGGATCTTTGGAATTAATATAGCAAAAAAATGGACATACTTCCAAAAGCAATCTAAAGATTCAACACAATCCCCATTAAAATCCAATACAATTCTTCATACAACATCACACATACTTTTCTGCTTTATGAGGAAATGCAAAAACCCCAAGATAGCTAGAACAATTCTGAATTATAAAAGAACTACAGAAAGTATTACCATCTCTGACTTCAAGTTGTAACTACAAAATTACAGTAATAAAAACTACATACTATTAGCCCAAAATAGACATGTTGGTCAACCAGTTCAGATTGAAGATCCAGACAAATTCCACAGATACATAATTTTTGATGAAGAAGCCAAAATACACAGTGGAATTAAGAGAAACTAGATAATGGCCTTGAACTCACTGTCATAGGAAAAGGCTTCTGTTATATAAAAACATAGCAATAAACTGACTCCTCGTTGAATTCCGCTAACTCATAGGTCAACTGGGGAAACAATTGACTCTTAAGAGTAGGATGCATGCCCAGCAGTAAATAGCCAACAGAAAACTAACACAACAACAGCATCTTTGGAGGTTCCTTGTCTCATTATATCATGTCAGAGCTTTTTCCATTTTTAATTTTATCTTATTATCATTTGTATTTTACTCATATGTTTTCTTCTCTCATTTTATCCTACGGGCTCTTTGAATATACACTATGGCTTCAAGTTTAGTGCTTTTATGACATTCCTGAGTATGCAGTTGAGTGAACTCAGTTCTTGTGCCTTTACTTGGGCTCTTTTCCTTCTCTTTGTTTTGTCCTGTTCTGATTGGCTTGTTTTCGTTGTGTTTTATTTGATTTTAATCTCTTAGAAGCCTGTTTGTTTTCTAATAAGAGACAGAAATAAGGGGTGGATCTAGACAGAAAGAGAGGTACGGAGGAACTTGGAGGAGTACAGGGAGGGGAAACCAAATCAGGATATATTATGTGATAAGGAAAAAAGCTAGTTTCAATATGTGGAAACATACACACAGGTATTCCATTTCATATGAAGTAATCGAGATTGTAAATTGACCTTAAGAGAATTTTAGAGATCTTCAAAAGTCCCTTATTCAATAATAAGTGAAAGGTCTTCGAGAAAAGAACAAAACCATTTAGGGTATGGAATTAAATCCACATCAACTTTCCATCTTCAACAATGTGCATTGTGTTATACAAAATTAAAAGGGAAAATAACCAGTTACAAGTATTATTTGGGATTTTTTTTCTCATCCAAAACTTAAACAGCTTTACAAATACACCTTTTCCTTCACACTTAGGGGATTAGTGCCAGCTGTCCCCACAGATAGGAAAGACGTGGATATTAGACTTTTATTTAAAAGATTATTGCATGTTACCTATGTACACTTTGCTATGTCCTTTTCAGCTATCCCTCATTTATTCATGCTACCTGTGGCCATGCTCTATAAGTATCTATCAGACTCAGAGGAAAGAAAGTACAGTGCTCAGCTTCCAGTTTCCCTGTAGTTGTTAATAAATGACTTCTTGGGCAATATGATTATTTTCCAAGTCATGTTTTATTGTATGATATTTTGTTTGTATTCTGACAAATAAAGCTGGCATGGATTTCAGAGAAGTGGAGTAGCCAGCCACTGTAAGACTTTTCATCTCTAGGAAAACTGAGACTGAAAGGGGAGATCCTGCCACTATGAATCCTCAGACTGAATGGGCTGGGAATCCTGTTTTCACTAGCCTTATATTCCTGTCTCCGTCTCTCTAATGCTGGGATTAAAGGTATAAGCCACCACCAACTGGCTGTTTCTCCTTTACACTGGTTCAATCTCATGTACCCCAGGATGGACTTGAACTCCTGATCCTCCTGCTTCCTCCTCCCAAGTGCTGGGATTAAAGATGTGTGCCACCCATGCCTAGTCTCTATGGTTAACTAGTGACTAGCTCTGTCCTCTGATCTCCAGGGAAGCTTTATTTGTCAGATCACAAACAAAATATCCTACAACAATGTTTCTTCTTCCTTTCTAATAGAAAAGCATGCATTTTAGCACTCGACCACTGTAGTGGGTAGCCATTCCAACCTTGATCTGGAAGTTCCAACCCCCATTGAGGCTTCAGTAATTGTCACGCCTACAAGGCGGGGCCAAGAGAGGACCCTGAAGACCTGAGATCTGGATGCGCTGCGCTCCCTTGGTGCCTGGACCCTGGACACTGGAGATAGACCAAGCAGAGGTCTCCAGAGAACACCGCTGGACTGCGAGACACCTTTCCCAGACCCTGCAACCCACCTATCCCTTCACTTGTAAGTTACAGCACTAATTAAACCTCCCTTTTAACTGTGTGGAGTGGCCTTAATAATTTCACCAATATACCACTTTTAGGAGAAGTGACTTATGGTAAAAATGAATCATCTTCAATATTGTATTTTCTTACTATTGACTCATTTAGATGCAGGTGATCAGTGCAATCCTGAT